GCCTTTGTGACCTGATCATAAAAGGCAATCAGGTTGGTCTGACATGACCTGCCCCTAATGAAACCGTGCTGGTTGCCCTTGAGCATCATCCCTGAGGCCGGCCCATCACAGATGTGCTCCCTGAGGATCTTCTCAAAGAGTTTCCCAAGGATAGAGGTAAGACTGACGGGCCTATAGTTGCCCGGGTCCTCTTTCTTCCCTTTTTTGAAGATGGGGACCACGTTAGCTATCTTCCAATCATCTGGCACCTGGCCTGAGCACCACGAGCACTCGTAAAGCTGTGCGAAGGGCCCTGCAATAACCCCAGCTAGCTCCCTCAGCATCCTGGGGTGGAGAGCTTCTGGACCTGCTGACTTGAAGATGTCCAGCCCCTCCAGAAGCTCTCTAACCTGGTCCTCCCCAACCTGAGGGCTGGAGGCGTTCCCGTCGAGTCCATCTGGCATCACAGCGGGGAAGTCCCGGTCCCTGCACAAGAAAACGGATGTGAAGAATTGGTTAAAGAGTTCCGCTGGTTGCAGTCCAGCTTGTCTAGCAGCCAAATGGTAAGAGAAATTGAGGCTGGAGACTTGGTGCTACTGTCCTAGAAGGCTGAAGTCTGCCATTGGCATGAGCAGGAACATGGGATGCCCCAGGGAAGCCAGGCTGAGTCATTAGAACCAGGGTCAGATCATTTCCACTGGTACAGATCTAAGGGAGTTCTCATGATGTCAGTGAAGCTACTCTGGATTTTCCCCAGGGTGTCAGTGAGACCAGACTCTGACCTGGATTATGTACATCTTCTGATGAGGCTGATTTGCCCCTTCAGACACTGAGGAGTGAAAACCTGCCCACACCCCCTGTCAGGGAAACTTCCTTGAGAAGCAATGTTCTCTTGTAAAAATAGACTCCCAAGAACGTGTCTTGGTACCCAGGACATAGCTTGGCCTATTGATAGAATCACATTGATGAGACACAGAGGCTTGAGCTCGCTGGGTCCCTGGAACAGACAGAGCAGAGTGGGTGTGTGACGTCTGCACATTTGTGTCCACTGGGCTGAATCAGAAGGGTTTTCTTGGAAGGATGATGGAAATGAGAACTTGGCAGTTTTCAAGACATAACCCACTCCCAGGCCCCAGAAACACATTGTATCCAGCAAGTCATTGCACAGTGTTTGAAGTGTTTCTGAATTGGGAATCTGCCCCACTAGCTTGGTTTTTCTTTTATTATCTCATCTCCAGTGAGTTGTGCTCTGAGCAGAACATAAAATCAGTGGTAACTGTGCAGCATTCAAGCTGGCTGTGAAGGAGATGGAGACTGAGTGTCCAGTCAATGCCTCTTGACTAACTCATGAGTTTTCTCTCTGTCTTCTGTGCAGAAGTCCAAAAACCATTCCATTCAGGATGCTGAGGGAGAACAGAACATCCAAGCCACCTGCATGAAGATCCTGGAAAATCTGGATGTCTAAATCAGTGGCATGAGCCAAGTAGGTGACCAGTTGCTGCCCTTGCATTATCTATGCATTTCTCTTCATCCCCTGTGCCTCTCCACTGGGCAATTCTCTGCATTGCCAGGGTAATGGAGATTGATTATCACCAGTGCTGCCCATGAATTATGGAGCAAGCTGCCACCATGTAAGGAATGACATGCAACATCCCAACTGGAAGGAATCCCTGTGCTGAGATGGCCTCCTCATTCTCTCTCTTGCTCTGCTCAGTCTTCTCTGAAATTGAGACTTCTTTGGCCAGTGTTAGAACAGGGTTTCAGAGATCAAATATTCTTGAGAAAGAGACTTGAGTTCACAGGGTGGGGAAGGACCCTCACATAGGTGGGTCATTGGTGAAGAAGAGGAGACTGCTTTTGAGGACTGAATGAAGATAGCTGGCTGTCTGGCTTTTCTCCCCAGGTCTTATGGCCCCAACTGCTGGAGTACATAGTGCCATCCCAGTACACCTGCACTCTGACCCCACTGTGCCGATGCCTCAGGGACCTGGCCAAGCAACTGCAGTGGGAGGGAGAAGAAGCAGCCTGCATGGACCCCAGTAAAGGAGGTTTGGAATCCAGATCCCTGTGGGATGAACTGCCTCTTAGAAAATCTTTGGCTTCTTCCATCCATAATGAGGAGACCCAAAGGTGGGAGGGGCAGTTGGGTAATTACAACATGGGAGGGGGAGCCAGGCAATGTGGGCTCACCTAACCCAGATTTATGCTGTGCCATAGGGGAATCCCAGGGCCTTTCTGCCTCAGCTTCCCCATTCATCCAATGATGACTGAGCAGTGCCTACCTCACAGAGGAGCTGGGAGTGAAAGTTTCTTGGTAAAGCTCCTTGAGATCGAGACACAGAAGGTGCCATGAAAATGCTAGCTGTCCCCAGCTCCCAAAGTATACATGGGTGGGCACATTGGGAATGGACAGGCTTGAAGCAGCATCACCCCTGTTCTGAAGTAGTCACACATGACCATGCTCTTTTTCTCTTTCTAGCCAAACTTCCTGAGGCCCAGGAGCTGCTGGTGTGACTCCTGGTGAGTAGCTCTGGAAAGGTACCTGCCACAGGTGTGGGGGGGAGAGGAGCTCAATGGTGTGGGGAACACGTGCCTGTAGCCTTAGCTGGAGGAACATGCGCTGTCTCTTCCCACACTCAGAGCTGCCCTGTGCTGGCAGAGTTCTCCTCCCTTTGCAGAGCAGAGCTAGGCTCTGTCCCTGCCTTGCAGCCTGGGAAGGGTCCTGCAGGATTAGCCAAACACAGCATATCAGCCTGTGTCTGATTGCTGAATGCTCTGGTCATGTATGGTGGAGGCCATTTTCCCTCCTAAAGAAAGCCATGGAGCCCCACTCCAGAGCTGATCCCCTGTCTCTCTCTCACTGTTAGGTGGTCACCCTGACCTTGGTTGATATCAGCCATGTGCAATCTGCCCTGTGGGGACTGTGGGCTCTGCACTGCATGATCTACCCTGCTGTTGGAGAGCAGTGGAGGATCAAGATTCCCATCCTGCTCATGACAATTGAAGGTAACAAGCAAGGAAGGAGCACAGTGATGTCTGCAGAACAAAAGGGAAGGGGGAAGGTTGCAGCCTCCTGGAACCCCCAGTGGAACCATTCCTCTTTTGCAGCATCACATGCTTGAGAGCTTCTACTGTTTGTCACAGGGAGCAAATCCAGGGGCTTGACATCACTGAGGCTGATGGGACCCAGAACAGGGTTTGCCCATGAAGGGTTCCACCAGAGCAACTGCTCTCCTGCAGTTCCCTGCATGCTTGGGAGGTTCCTGTTGCCAGAAAACTCTGTGCACTTTGCCCTTCTATGAAGCCCATTCCTGTACTGTACTGTGCTGTGCTGAGCACATCCGTGAGGTGCTGAGCACCCTCCATTCCACTTATGACCAGTTCTGCAGGGACTGGCTATGTACAACTTCCAGACATGTCAGAATAATATGTACTGGAGCACAAGGACTGTGACCTTGGGATCCCGGGAAGTGCCTGGGTGCAGATGCAGGAGCTTCCAAAGAACTGATGCCCAGGGAGGCAGCTGGGACTCTTCTTCAGTGCCTATGGCATTGACATCCTTCTTGTTTGCCTCTCACTTTCAGGAAATCCTAAGACCTCCCAAGACAATGTGTGGTGGGGCCACCTGCTGCTGAAGGTACGGGATGGCTCTAGAGCTGTTGTTGCAGCCAGCCAAATTGGGTAGGGCTGTCTGAGAAGGGAGGATTCCCTCATGCCTCAAGGAAATGAGGTGATGAAAGTCAATAACCCAGCAAGAGTCCAACTTGGAAGGTTTGCCAGTATCCTTGAGTTTGGATTGAGATCCAGAGTTGCCCATTTGGGATCATCAAGCCTTTCCACACAGTCTTTGAGCTCAAGAAATGGAAGGAGATGAAGCCTTGCAAGAGGGTTTCTGCAATTCCTGGGTCCTATCACAATGCAAGCCCAACACAACAAAGCACTGAAGTCCCTGGCATTTGGAGATGCCAGTTGTAGAGCCCATGGCACCTTCCTGACTAAATCCATCCTGCACCCTCTGCACAATCTCTCTCCAGTGGATAGGTTTCTTGGCATAATCTCCTCCAAACTTTTGTCTACTTGTATCAAGGGTTGTGAAGGATCCTTGGGCAGAGATGAAGAGGGGGGAGCAAGAAGCAAGAAGATCCTAGGGTGTCCATCTGTAGAGTTCTCCAAAGGAGTCCTCTCCCTATGAGACTTGGGTGCTAGAAAGGGCACAGCAGAGGAGGAGGACAGAGACTCAGCCCATGCACCCAACTCTTTCCTTCCCTTCACTTGTGCCCTCAGTTCCTGAACATGACACTGAAGACCATCGATGATGATGCCTAGAGCAGTCAGCTGAGCCTGGAGCTGCAGCAGCAGATGACCAGTTACACCTGCTCCAGAAATCACAGAATACACACGCTTCTGAGAGAGAGGTGAGGACCCTGTTCTCTCCAGACATGGCCAGGTCCTCCCATGTCCTCGCTTCTCTGTTGCTCTGTGTCTGAGGCTGGTTTCCTTCATGGCCTTCCCTTGTCCTTTCCCTTGGACAGCCCCATAACTTGTTTCAGGTTGGATGGGCAGTTCTAGTATCACGGGAGATGGGAAAGAACTCTCAGGTCTGACAGCCAGAAGGTCCTGCTCACTCACCAATGCATTTCTTGGGTTCCAGCAAGTTGTGACCATCCAGGCATTCTCAGCCAAGGGCCACCTGGACCTCACCCTGAGCACACTGAAGGACTTTGGTGGTGCCATGAGTAAAGTGCAGGTGTCTAGGATAGTCAGCCGTCTCCAGGTAATGTAGGTGGGGGGTTTCTCACACTTCCTCCCCCTATAAACCCTTGAAAAGAACAGCTTGACAGTGGCTACTTTCCCTGGTAATGCGCTCTCCCAGGGGACATGCTCCACATCAGGTCTCTGGTGATATAGAGGGGAGCACAGTTTCTGCTACTCACATTTTTCATGTCCCAAGTTAATGGGTCGGCAATCAACCAGCCCCTTTCAGGCACTGAGGCAACTACATCTGTTGTTCACCCAGAGCAGTGGTTTTGCATAGGGGATGCACAGGGGTGCACATGCACCCCCTGAGAGTGCTGGTGCACCCCCTAAGTGGCAGGCAGGGGGGGAGGCAGAAGCGCTGGTGCCCCCCCTGCAAGCAGCGGCCGTCAAGTGGGAGCACTGTGGAACCCCCTCTACCCCCAGTCACTGACTGGTCTCTGGGGGGTATGTGCCCCCCCCAACTAAGGCAGCACCAGTTGCCCATGACCCAGAGAAAGAAATTGTGTATTTCTCACAAATTTCAGTTAGCTGTGGGAGAGGAGACGTGAGCCCTATTGCCCAGCCTGAAAGTACCAGCTCCTAGCTCATAATCCATATGCACATCCACCTCCCTGGGCAGATGCTGGACAGTCTAATGGCACCTACATGTTTACTGGAAAATGGGCCCTAAGGTTCTGCTCTAGGGCTCACCCAGCCCAGCAGAGCCACCACCATGGCTGAGATGAGCACCTCAGCATTCACAGCTGTTTGGGTCCAGGCCTCATCCAACAGGGTGCTCACAGTGCCCCAAACACCTGCTAAGAGCTTCAGCTTCTGCCCAAAGAACAGCAGGCAGAGCTACCTCCTTCACACACAGAGACCTGTATTGTCCTTCCCTATCCATTGTGCCCAGGGACTCCTTACAGCCAAATGCATGAGAAGGCCCTTGGCACAATGCATCTGCTGCCCCAGTTCCTGTCAGTCACAAACTCTCCCCCACTTCTGCCCCGATGTCCATGGCTCAGCGTGGCACTGCAGCTCTCTCTTCCTGAGTCACCCAGGCTGCAGGACAGAGATGATGAGGCCTGGCTGTTTCTGAAACAAAGCACTGAAAACAAAGATGATGGTGCTGTGAGAGTTGTGGGTCTCCTGTGACTGGCAGGGAGAGCTGATATCGCTGCTGGGGCAACTCCTTGGTCAGTAGTGATTCCTACTTGCAAGGTAGAAGAGATGGGAAGCCCTAGTGTGAGTGTCATATCACCCCATGCAGGACTATCACCAAGGGAGAAGACCCAGGACCTTGATACTGGCCAAAGGCTGAATTGCTGTCCATGCCCTACAAAAGCAGTTGCTCCCCTGCATAGTGTGTGACATCACTAGGAAGGTCCTGCAGTACTACGTGACTGGCTGCCAGGTAAGAGCCTAGGACTGCACCATGTCGGGAACAGGTCTGCTATGGGACGGATGTCTCCTTTGCACCTGGGTGCACAGAGAGGCTATGACTGTCTGAACCTCCCCCTGAATTCATGCCTTTGATGAGCATCCACATCAATCCTTCTGGATTCATGCGCAGTGTGGGGGGGACCCATATATGGAGAGTGCAGGTATAGAAGCTCCTGACAACCTGTCCTGCACTGGAGAGAGACATACATTCATGTTCTTGCACTGCTCCACACCCACCAGCCCAGCAATTTTTTGGACCTAGCATTGGGCTGCACTCTGGGGCCATTCCAGACACTGATGGTTGTTTTGCATTTCGTTTCCCAGGTGCTTGGCATCAATATCATCAATAAGGTAAATGTTTAATGACCCCCACGTCTTCTCATACTCTTCCCAAACCTGGACTGCAGGAGGCAGAATGACCTTCCCCAGGCAGAAGTCCCTCTTGCTGCCATGCACCTTGTCTGAGATGGGCCCAGGGCTTTCTGGGGCCTGCAGACATCTCTCAGGGATGCAAATGAGGCTTCATTTCATCCCTGATCTTTACATTCTGGATCTTGGCTCTTTTCCATTCCTTATCCCCATCTCCGTGTTGTTCCCCCATGGAATTCATGACCCAGACTTAAAGCTGACCCTGATCTGGTCAGTCACTGAAATCAGCCACACCATCCAGGATGCTGATGACTCCCAGAGCTTCCAGTTCACTTACAAAGAGGAGCTCCTGGGGTACATGCTGGTGAGTGGGGAGGAGCCCTGGGGACCAAACTGCAAAGGACAAGGTGGGAAACTAATGGGATGGGTTTCCCTGGGAATGGCCGTTTTGTCCCTTGGCTGTGATGGGATTATTAGAACCTCATGAGGGGTCTTCTTCGGGTCAAGAAAGCTGGTACCACTCAAAGCTTTCTAGGCAATGCTGCATTGTGGGCTTCTCTTGGAGGGCCCAGCTGTGCCTGGTCAGTGACTGGGATACAGCTTTGTGCCCTCTGCACTGATGCCATTGACATGAGTAGGATCCTGGGGCAGTGGCCAGCACAGCCCTGGCTCTATTTACGGCCCACCTAGGATGGCAGCCTGGTGAGCTTGTGGAAGGGAGGGTCTCTGCTTTCTACATCCATTTCCCCGTGTCATGTCTCTGTTTCTACCTTTTAGGACTTCATGAAAGAGGAACCAATGGATTCCCCGGCCTCTCCTGTTTGCCTCAGGGCCATGTTTGCCATTAAGCACCTGAGATAGGTGATTCCTGCCCTGGCCCTTGGCACTGGGATGCCCTGGTCAGAGATGAGCTCTTTCCTTAACTCTCTGTTGTTCTTTCTGTCAGATCTGCAGCTGAGAGACACCCGCAGGGCTCAGGTCACAGGCTGCTCTCCCTGCAGCTGGGGTCAGAGGGTTTGAATGTGTTTGGTCCGCTTGGAGATTTGGACTTGAAAGACCTGGTGGTGATGGTTGTGGGACAAATAGGAGTGGTGGGGAGTTCAAGGAGTTTCTCAGCTGCCATGTCCAGGGGGGTTGGATTTTGGGTTCTAGGTTCAGATCATATCTTAGCACTGTAGACCCACTTTCCCTTGGGGCTGGTAGTTAGTCTGACCGAGGGCTTTTCTTCCTCTCTTTCTTCTGTCAGCAAGGTGAAACCCTCACTGAATCTGGATGAAAACACAAACATCCTTGATGACTGCCTCAAGTGCCTATTGCCTCTTCCAGCTGTGCAGCAGATGAGGAAGCAAAGTAAGATGACTCAGGACTCTTTCCAAATACAGGTACACCTAAACAACTGTCTTTTGGCATTACTTACTGGTACCTGCTCCCCAGCCTGCTCTGGGTCCTAGCAGTCACCCCTGGCCTCCCTAGAATGGTTCTGGTTTTTGTGACACACACCCCAGCTGGCCCTGAGCTTCCCACTTCTATCTCCTGCTTATAGTCATTGCACAAGTTGTCCATGAAGGCCTTGGGTGAGCTCATGAGGGGCCTCCTTGAAGAACACCCCACTGAGAGTTGGTTCTTGGAGATGTTCCATGTGAGTAGCCAGCAGGAGCAGACACAGCTCTCTTCTCTGGGGAAGGTGGCAATAGGCCAAAGAAATAGGGAGGGAGGTTTCCCTCAGCAGGACAAATGAAAGGGGAGTCTGCCAAGGTGTCCTTGGGGCAATGACTGGTAATTCACTGGCATCCCATTAACATCCCTAGTAGCTGCACCATCTTGTGCCAGGGTCATTCAACAGCTCCTCTGGCTTCAGGAGAATTAAAGGTCTGCCTGGGATGCATCCAGATGATAAAATAATCAGATTTCTTGGAGGGTTTTCAGTGGTGATAGTGATATCTGCTTTTAAAATGGTTCCTCTAAGCTGTTTTAAAGGTTCCTCTGACAGTAGTTTGCTCTCCTGACAGCTTCTTGAGCCATAGTTCCTCTCTGACAAGGAGTGGGAGAGAGATAAAGCCTTGCAGGCCAGCTCCCAGCTGCTTGTCACCTATCAGGAGACAGTCCATTGCAGAGTAAGCATGGTCTAACTCTCTCTTGCCTTGATGTCCTCATGGCAGCCTCACCCTGAGATACAGAAAGCTTCCCTAGCAGACAGGATCCCACAGGGATGCATTCCTGTTTTCACCTTCCCAGGATCATAAATTTGAATATCAACCTACCCAAACCGAAGCTAACGTCATTCATTTCTTTCTCCTTTTTTTCTCAGCTGCAAGAGCCTTTTTTGCAATCTGGGTCCCTGCTGGGGCTGCTGGCACCCTACAACTGCACCTCTTTGGTCACATCACACCTGTGGGCCACTGAGTGCATTGCCTGCCTTCTCCACCTACAAGGTGAGGGCACTCTGAATAGGTGCAAGTGGCTCTGCCTCTTTTCTCCCTCTGGTAATGCCTACTCCTCTCCTATGTCCATTTGCTGCTAGTCTAATGACACCTCAAAAGCACCTCAAAAGGGTCACAACTGGCCCTTGGAAGCTCTCCTCCTAGGAGAGAAGAGTTGCATGGTGTGAAGGGCCTGGCCCTCTTTTGGGAAGTGTGAAAAGCAGCACCCTTGTAGCAAGAATGGGGAGAGGCTTGTAGTAGCTCTAATCCTGCTGCACCTCTGACCCCACTGAAGTCACTCAGACCTTGACATGGTTCCTCCATGGAGCCAAGTTTCCATTTCAGACATCGTTACAGCATTTTTTTTCCCTTATTTTCATTCCAGACCAGTCCATGACCATGGATGCAGTGGAGGTGGAGCTGAGAGGTCTCCATGAGGAGCTCAAAGTCTCCAGCCCTGAGGCTGTGCTTATAGCATCCACCCACATGGTGAAGGTCAGGCTCAAGAAGTGGTGTGGAGACTCTGGGAACTGGGCATCCTTCATTGTCCATTCCTTTGCTCATCACACATGGTTTCTCTCTTTCTTTGGATTTCATGGGGGAGGCATCTGGGACACTTATTGTTTATCCACTGTCTTCTGCTGTTTACCCATGTCCATGGTAGAAAGAATAAGTCAGAGCAAGATTAGAAAGTTTTGTAGATAGTTCTGTCCCTGCACAGAAGAACAAACCTTTAATGATGCTCTCTCCATTGAAAGACAATGGAACGTTCAAACACGCGTTCACCTTTTGCACATGCACCACGTTGCCATAGGGCAGAAGCTTATGCACAACACAACTCTTTAATATCACTCTTGAACTCTGGGGTTCAGTGAAGTTTCCCTTCTTTCTATTTGTCTCCAGGTCTTTGGAAAATATTTTCCATCCAACCAGGCCCTTGACTTTTTCGGGAACATAGTGGATGACATGCCAGCCCCACATGTACCACGCCATCAGGACACTGCTTCATTACAATCCTTAGGAAGCATGGAGATACCCTTCTGGATGAGATAAAATTAAAGCTGAGGAAGCTTTCTGCATTTGGTTTATGCTTTTCAAACACTGCTTTCATGTGGAGTGAACAGTAATATTACTGTTTATCCCTGGACATGAAGCAAATTCTATTTCCCTTACTAGCCAGAGAGGTCTGGGTTGGGAACAGGGTGCAGGAAAGAATGGATGCCAGAGATACTGAGCCTCCCCCTCTCCCTGTTCTGGATGAGACTGGATATGGGCAGCTGGGCCTACTGCCCTGTGGGCCTGGCCATGTGCAGAATGAGGAGTTGTAGTTAGAAATGAGGAGTGTGAACTCCAGTGTGCAGTTCCAACAGAGCTGGCCTCACCTGGAAAAAAATACATTCACAATCATGTTGTTCATGGTCCCAGGGATTCTCAAAGGGGTTCTGAAGTTGGTGGTGCTTGTTGATCCTGAGCTGAGCATCCACACAGGGAAAAGGCTAAAATTAGCTTCTTCAAACCAAGCCCAGATATTGATATTTGTTGGGGTGTCTGTGCGAGCACACTGGTTAATGTCAAGCAGAAATAAGTCCCAGGCGGCACATGCAATTAGATTATAGGTGTGTGCACATGGGCAGGGGAATGGCTGAGGGTGTGTGGGATGGTTAGCATCTGTGCACATGTCATGGTGTCCACTTTCACCCCAAGTAGAGGCATTGGGGTGTCCCCACTTCTTAGGATCATCTGGAGGCAGCAACGTCTGGACATTGGTTCCTTAAAGCAAGAAATTTCTAAGATGGCAGCAAATTGCCAAACTTTGGGAGGGATTGGTTTGGATTGTGCTGGCTGAATGAGAAAGGGGCCCTTGTTCTTGTTATCTTCCCTCCAGATGCTGAACATCCTAGGCACCATTTTTATCTGGATGCTGACAATCCAGGCAAGGTCTGTGAGAGGTTTCCTGCTGGAAGGCATCTCCGTTCTTGCTGGGTTCCACCTAGAGGCAATGATCATCAGCCTCCTTAGAAAGCCTCTGCCAATGGACAGGTACTTGCCACTCCCTACCTCTTGTGCCTGGTGGCACACATACATCCCACAACCTGGCAAAGCCCATAGAGTTTCCAGCCAGCTGCAGATCCTTTGGAATGACTTGGTAAGAGTCAATGTCCCAGTGCATTTGCATAGGAAATGCCAGATGGCATTGGCAGATGCCATCACTATGCCCCAACCCCATCTTAGACCAGGAGAGCCCTTGGCCTTTGCTTCAATGTCCTATTGTTTCATGACATCACAGGTGTATCTGCAGCTTGTATGTAATTTGTGTTAAACTGCAGTGACACCTCTGAGTTCTGGAGGGCCTTGAGGGGGGAATGATTTCTTCACCCTCTACATACTACATTGGCTCATGAGCAAGATTCAACATCCAGCTGGCACAGACAGGAGCTCAGCTGAGGACATCATGGCCCTTGGGCCTCTAGCAGCAAGTGACAGCCCAGACCCAGTTCTGTCAGTTCCCCTTGAGGGCTAGAATCCTGGTTCTCAAGAGCTTGAGGTAGGATGCCAGGCTGTGGGGCAAGCTTTTCTCCCCTGCTGTCTCCTGAACCTCTGGTCACGTCTGCTCTTCCATCAGCAACAGACACACAGCAGCTTAATGCTATGTGACTGACTCCATGAGATTTTGGAACTAGAAACTCCTGGAACTGAGAGGCTTCTTCTGCTTTGCAGCTCTCCATTCAGGCTGCTGGAGCCCCTGTACTTCCCAGACAGAAGTGCAGGGATGTGACTTGGAAGGGAGTGACTGGGAAGGGATGTGACTGGGAGCGCAGGGATGTGACTGGGAAGGGAGCCAAGTGCTAAGGGAACTGCTGCCAGAGCTGTTCTGTGCTCTCCTAGATGGGAGGAAGAGACCTTTACACTTGGAGTTATGAATTGCCAGGTGTCTGCTCCAGGCTGATTCTGGTCTTCTCTATCTCTTCAGGCAACATGTGCATCTTTGGAGATGCTCACCACCATTCACTCCAGCCCAGTGCTAAGGGAGCTTCTCCCAGAGATTCTCTGCTCTTCTGGAGCAAGTTCGCTGCACTGTAGGGCAGTACATGCCAATGCCCACAGGCAGCATCCGGAGGAGGCAGCTGCAGAAGGAGCAACTGTGAGCAGTGGGCAACCCTTGCAGGTAAGGAGTAGGCTGTGACTGCTTTCACAGGTTTGGCCTCACTTCAGGCTAACTGCCTGCAGGGTGTTCTTATCCTTGCCAAGGGCTGTGCTGAGCTGTCTTGGTCCTGGCAGCTGAAAGAAGTGGGGGGTTGTCTAAGAAGGGCAGAGTTTGAAATGTTAAGGCTGGGAGGGCCTATTTGTTCCTCCAATCTGAGCTTCTCTGGGACAGGCTAGCAGTTTCATCCCAGGGGCTTCACAATCTCCATTAGTGAGCAGCACACACTGTGCTCCCAGTGTTTGGGACCTGGGCATGTGATTCTGCATGTTCCCATGCTCTACATGTGGCTTTTGTCCTTGTAGGGAGAGAAAAATGGCTTCCCAATTCTTTCCATAGTGCATTTGGCTTGGGAGAGCCTCCATGCATCCCTTCTGGCTTCCAGAACTGATTTGTGCAAGGTTCTGCCCTTCCTGTCCCTGTCAGGGGATTGCAAAGCATGAGAAAGAATGGCATCATTGGTCTGATCTGAGCTGCCTGCCTTGTGCAGCAAGTGTCTGAGTAATGGACCTCCTGAGTGACGGGGAGTTTTGGTTCTGCTCTGGCTGCAGCATCTCATTAGAGTCTGTAAATCTGGGCCTTCTCTTTCTCCAGGCTTTCTATGGAGACCCTGGCCTGTGCCATATCTAAGGGCCTTGGGGAGGGAGTGGCTTCAGCCCTCTGCCAAGAGGGAACTTGGACACTCCTTTAGAGCCCCCAGATGTACCATGAGAGGGTGTGCCAACTGGCCAGGTAAGAGAGGCAGGCTGGATTACATCTGTGCTCTAGGCAGTGGGATGAGTGGTAGAGGGGGAACTTTCTGTGCTGAACCTGCAGGGTTGTGTGGGGCTGGAGACATGGAGCTTGTGCTCCAAGAAATGAGAGTTGCCGCCTCAGAGCAACTGAGTGTTGGCAGTGCCCAGCTGGTCTCAGAACTAGTGGTTTTCTCTTGCAGGGCTTTGCTCCCATTGGGCATTATAATGTCCAAATTCTCGGGACAGGTCCTGCAGTGAGTAAGTTCCACAACTGAAAAGCTGCACGTTACTGGTACAGCGGCTGTTTGTTGTGCTTGTTCCCTGGGGAGTCCCCTGGTCTTCTTCCTAGGAGGGAGGATCACTGGAGGCAGTTGAGAGGTTTCTCTTCTGTCCTTGTCCTTGCATTGACTCTTCTGCTATATGAGAACAGGCAGACAAGGATTTTCTTACTGACCTGCCCCTACTGAGCCCTCATCCTAGCCAACAGCTCTGAGTTTGGTCCTAACTAGTGCATCTTCTATATCGACCCAGCATCCCAGGAGGACACTGCTCTAAAGCAAGCAATGCCCCAATCTACTCACATTGGCATCATCTCTCCCACTTACACTAAACCCCTGTCTTCATGATTTGCCTGGCTCTAAGCAGACAACCCTCCCCCTGTCCAACAGGAGAGCACCACAGGCCCTGATTGCTTTTTCCTCTAGACCAATATGGCTACCACCTGGGTACCTGACAGTGTGAATTAGGCACACTCTTAAAGAATCCCACTACTCACATCTGTGCACTGTTAGACACCTAAATACTTTTAAACAGATCTGGCTTTGTCTACTTGAAGAGAAACCTATTGTGAAAGAGCAGGAATGGGGATAGAAATAAGAAGGGCCTTAGGTGGTATTCTCAAAGCCTTTCAGATAGTGACAGAATTACTAAGACAGTGCAATCACCTTCATCCATGTACTAATAAGAGTCAGGACCAATGACAAGCAGCTGTCAACATAGGATGGTAACTGAAATTCTGAGGGGAAGAAAGATGGAAACAATTTTGCAGGCTTCAGCCAGGGAACACCGTAACAAAGGCCCTATCTGAGTGATGACGAGACACAGGCTGTGCTGATGAATAGATGGGCCTTGTTTAATGAACCTGATGGCACAGTGAGATGAGAGAGATGCAGAAGATTTTCAGTACATGAGGGGCACTGCCTAGCCATGAGCCACAGCTTACATTTTACTCATGGAAACTCATGGTTGTCATGTGAGGTCACAGATGACAAAAACAGGGCAAGTAAATTGCTCATCTTGAGGAAAGGGAAGAAGGAGGACCTGGAGAATTACTGACCAGTCAGTTGGACCTTAATAACAAGAACGATCATATAGCATGTCCTCAAAGAATCAATTTCTAAGCACCTGAAGAAGAACAAGGTGATCAGTAGGTCTGTGTACAGTGGCTACTATTAGCTTCAGATTCGGATTTGGCTTTAGCTGATTCGGGGGACAGTGATTCAATTTGGTGATTCAAATCACTTTCCATATCAGTTTGGCCAAATCTGACCTGGAGATTCAGCCGCTACCAAATCAGCCTTATTTCCAGATTGGCCCCATCCCCTGCCCGCTCTCCCAGCCCCACCCATGGCTGCCCTGCCCAGCTCCAGCTCCCAGCTCTTTAGGAAAAAAAGTCCAGTACTCACCGGCTGCTGCCAGGTGTGTGTGTGTGGTGGGGGGGCAATCCCCACCATGAGTCCCCAGAAGCCCCAGTGGCTGCTGTAGCATCCGGTAAGTTCAGGGTTTGTTTTTGTTTAAAGAGCTGGGCTGGGCAGGGCAGTCATGGAGGGGGGAGGGCTGGGGGAGCAGGCAGGGGATGGGCCCTGGCAGAGGTCCCCCCATGGTCCCCTCCCCCTGTCCCACCCCCTACTTACCAGCACAGAGTCTGGGCCCAGCTCCCTGCAGCAGTGAGCAGGGACTGCCTGAATCTATGAATCTCTCTGAATCTTTTCTGAATTGATTCAGAGAGCTTTGAATTGATTCAGACCTTTTAATTGGTCTCCTGATTTAACTCAGATTCAGAGATTTGGCCACCAAATTGGGCTGAATCTCCTCTGAATCAAATCAGCACCTGAAGCTTCATACAGCCCTAGTGTTTCCAATTTTGGAGTAAAATTCCAGGACTGCATTTTACTCCAAAATACTTAATATTGTTTTACATCCATGTAGATCCAGAATGATTTTCTGGCATTAAGAATTGATAGTAATTGGGTAGTAGTGATGATAGGATTAAGAATTATATATCAAGCCTGAAATAAATGACCAACTTGATTAACAGATTTAAGGCCAAAAGAGATCATTTCCAATCACTCAGTTTTTCATGCACGTTCTGCTATACTGAAAAGTCACCTATTCTCACTCTCTTCCCATTAGGTTTCTATGGGCAGTGATCAAGTCTCCTCTTACTCATCTTTTGAATAAAATATACAGGGGGTTTTTTGTTCTACAATTTCTACTATTTTTAAAATTTCAAGAACAGACAAATAAATATTTAATTTATTATCTGGATATTTGGATAATGCAGTTTAAACTCCTGGCAGCAATGTCAGTTGCTATATGACAGGAGTCAGTTTTTGTCTCTTTATCAATATTATTCCAAAGGACAAGGATCAACTGACATACAGTCTTTACATTATTTTGATTTTAGATCTCTCTTCTAACTCGACGTGTCATAATGTAAATTTACAGCCCACGACTAATCCTTCTGTTCTCGGTTTGGGTGACAGTTTCAGATGGAATATGTATGAGGAAAAAATGCAGAGGCATAATATACAGGGCAGGCATCTTGAACAGTGGCAGCAGCAGGCATAGCAGCAGAGACCAGGCCAGCCAGCTGCAGCTACTACGGTGACTAACTCTCATGCACACCCGCTAAGTGTACACCCAGGGCTAGTTCCTTGGTCACCCACCACTTGTTACAGTACTGGAAAAATCTGATTGAATTGTCATTAGTAGGGAATTTCAGTTACAGTGAAAGCTCTGTTATCCCGCATCTCCCGAGAATGGGGGATGCCAGATAATAAAATATGCTGGTTTATTGAGTGGCCTGGGCCACCGCTTCTCCTGCCATGTCTGGGGCATCCCGCCGCCCCTCCTGCAGCATTGCCACCCCTCCCGCAGCATCGCTGCCCCTCCTGTGGGCCCTGTGGGACAGGGAGGAGGGCCCCGCACAGCCTGTTATGCTCCTGGGCCATGGGGGCTTGGCAGCACAGGCTGCTTTGCCCTGGGCCATGGGGGCTCAGAGAAACTGGAAGTGCCATGGTGAACACATCTGGTTTCACTTTATCTTACAAGCCGGCATGCCAGTTAATAGAGCATGCTGGCTTGTAAGATGCCGGTTAACCGAACTTTTACTATAATAACTTTTTAGTTATGTACCTCTGGGCAGTTTTGATATTCAAATATCTGGCTGAAGGCTAGCTGAATACAAACAATTTTCATAACTGCACAACCTCTACTATTTTTAGAGTGAAATACAAAAGTTAAAAAAATTCACAAAAACAGAATGGATTTTTTGTTTTTAAAAGGGCGATAAAAGTGAAAAAAGCTGTTGTTAATATAAAAACTTCTGAATAATTAGAATTTCCAGGATCATGTACATTTAACAAAAACAAACAAACAATAAAAACCCACCATTTTTCAGTCTCTTATAAAGGTATTGTGATGAATGCATGGGAATGGGAATCAGGAGACCTTGCTTCTGTTCCTGCCTATGAAGCTGACTTGCTGGGCGATCTTGAGAAAGTCACATAATCTCTCAGGGACACTGGAGAAAAATCTGAATATCATCATGCTTGCCTTCCATTATAAAGCACTTTAAGATGTATAGACCAAAGAACCTTAGACAGTTTTGCTCTTGAAGATCCTGAATAGCTTCACTGACTCACTTCAATAAACTGAGAGTCCTAATAGGTTACTTGTGATCTATTATAAATCTATTTATAATTATTGTCCAGGGTATCAAAAGTAGTAAAATAATCCTGTCAGTATACAGCAATAAAAAGTAAAGGAGTTTCAGGGTTTGGAACAGAGAGCAAGTTCCTTGGTAAGAAGCACCATTAAAAAACTTTTTAAACCTCTATTAAAGCTATACAAAAAAAAGGAAAAAAAAAAGAAAATTAGTTAAAGAGTTGAAAATGTAGGGTGCCTGTACAGGAGCCCAAAGGCAGCTCTGACACATTGCTATTACAGCACATTGGAGCAGACTCAATCATTTGAGTCTGCTGGGGTTTTTTGCTTGGGTTTTTTTGTTTGATTAATTGAGTCTGTTAGAACATGATAATTTACCATGCTCCAGTCAGCCTCTGCATCTTATTTATCAGTGTCCACGCATTTCAAAATGGAGGTAGAGGTGCTTTATAAAGCATCTTTGCCACCATTTTGAACACCAGGACACTGAAACACAAGATGCTTTGGTTGCTTTAATTAGAGTGGCTCTCTCTAATTAAAGCTCCTCCCCACTCCTACCCGCCTCCCCACCCCAGCATGTAAAAATGTGTGTAAAGTATTAAGTAAGGATTCAATATCCTTGAATCCCCTTCTCTTTTACTGTAAGGAGGTTGGATACAGAAAAACCTTGTTGACAATCCTGAAGTAAAAGAGAAAAACTTGGTTGATATGAGGTGGCACTGTTCTGACTGATCCTGTTTCTCTGAAGGCAAATAAAAACACATCCACAAAAAGAGAGAGGATAAAACAGTTAAAATAAAATATGCAGCTTCTGTCTCTGGTGTTGTCATTTATGTGGCTCCACCTTGCTGGAGAAACACAGGCACATCATGCCATCTCATAGGCCACTCTAAGAGTTGTTGAACTGATAACAGCATCAAATTGTTTAGGCAACTGCTTCCCATTGCCTTTTTGGGTTACACCAATACGTAAAAGAGGTAGTCTTGGAAAGCTAGACCAGACTCTTAATTAAAAAAGCAACAAGATATAGAAAAGAGAAGATATAAGTGGAAGGGAAAAAAGGACAAAAAACGAAGGGCCGAGAGAGAGATTCATAGATGCTAGGGTCAGAAGGGACCTCAACAGATCATCAAGTCTGACCCCCTGCCTAGGCAGGAAAGAGTCCTGGGATCAGGTGACCCCAGCCAGATGCCTATCCAGCCTTCTCTTAAAGACCCCCAAGGTAGGGGAGAGCACCACCTCCCTTGGAAGCCCATTCCAAATTTTGGCCACCCTTACCATGAAGAAGTTTTTCCTGCGCTCTGTCATTCTGTGACCATCGTTCCAATTTACCCCAAGAGGTGCCCTGGTGAACAGAGTATCTCTGATCCCTTGCTGCATCCCCCTAATGAATTTCTAGGTGGCCACAACATCACCTCTCAGCCTTCTCTTGTGGAAGGTAAAAAGGTCCAGGACC